AGCCACTACAGAGACAACAGTGTCTCTGCCCAACATAGCTTCCCAGACACTGACGCTCCTGCAATATGGTGGCTCACTGGGTACGTGAGAAACGAGGCCGCCCGACTAGCAACAAAGGACGGGCCGCCCAACTGAAAAACCCAGGAGTGGCCAAGGGCGCAATCCATCTGGTCACCCAGGGAAAGCCAAGACCCTCCTCTTTTCGGTTCCGTAGACTAACCCAATAACTGTATTTGGGGGCATGCATTTCTCTGTCCCGCTCCAACCGTGTCTCCACCGCCATGGCGGGATGGAAGCCATGCCCGTTCCATTCTCCAACTCGCATCTTCTCTTTCCTCCCTCTCCTGCCCGGGTGGCCCCTCACACGCTGCTGTTCTCTTCAGGACCCCCTGCAGAGCCGAAGTTGAGTGTGGACCCCTCGTCCAGAGAAGCAAATGAGGGGCACCCACTCGTCGTCACCTGCACAGCTCCCGGGCACGCTGCGGAGCGGAGGTTCCACTTCTACCAGCACGGAGCAGAGATCGAGGCAGGGTCCGAGACCCACATCACAGAGCCCGACACCGAAGCTAGGAACGTCGCTGTGCTGAGCATCCCGCTGGCGGATACCAACAGCTTTGGGGAATACTCCTGCGGGTACGAAGAGAAGGACAGCGGGAGATGGATTCCCTCCACCAGGAGCCAGGCTGTGATGGTCACTTTGAAAGGTGAGGCTGCCGTAGGGACACACAACCAGCGATAGAAAACCGGAACACGTAGTATGGCCCGTACAGACACACACACACGAACACACACAGAGACACACACAGTTATGCATAGACACAGACACGCATGCCTACACACACAGAGAGAAACACACATACAGACACACACATACACATGAGTTTTTACCTATTGTCAGTCAATAGGATTTCATGGGTTTCCATGACGGAAGTGGCTCTGTCTACCCCATAGTTGTTCTAGAACCGGAATCTTTCCCATGGTTCCTCTGGCGTACGGGATTTCCCACTCATTCTCCCCATTATTACTCGTGGCCACCCCATGTGGACGGCAGTCTTCCACCTGCGTGGCTGCAGTTCAACATGCCCGTGGAATATGGCGGTTCACACTTCAGCCAAAGAAACGGTGAACACCGCCGTTCCAGAGATAACAGCGTTTCTGCCCCACATGGCTGCCCAGATACTAACGCACTTCCAATATGGCATCTCACAGGCTACGTGAGAAACGTGGGCGCCTGACTAGCAACAACGGATGGGCCGCCCAACTTAAAAAATCCCAGGAGTGGCCATGGGGGCAAAACCTCTGGTCATCCATGGAAAGCCAAGTCCCGCCTGTGTCCCACTCCGTAGGGTAACCCAGTAACCGTCTTTCGGGGGATGCATTTCTCTGTCCCGCTCCAACCGAGTCTTCACCGCCATGGCGGGATAGAAGCCACGCTCGTTCCATTCTCCAAACCGTATCTTCTCTTTCCTCCATGTCCTGCCCAGGTGGCCCTCACATGCTGCTTTTCTCCTCAGGCCCCCCTGCAGAGCCGACATTGAATGTGGACCCCCCGTCCAAAGAGGTGAATGAAGGGCACCCCCTCTTCATCACCTGCATGGCCCCCGGGGACGCCCTGGAGCGGAGGTTCCACTTTTACCAGCACGGAGCCGAGTTAAAGGCAGGAGCCGAGAAAGGAGCCGAGCTCGAGGCAGGAGCCGAGAAGCACATCACGGCGCCTGACACCCCACCTAGGAACGTCGCCGTGCTGAGCATCCCGCGGGCGGATACCAACAGCTCTGGGGAATACTCCTGCGGGTACGAAGAGAAGGACAGCGGGAGATGGATTCCCTCCACCAGGAGCCAGGCTGTGATGGTTACCTTGAAAGGTGAGGCTGCCATAGGGTTACACAACCAGGTCTAGACACACGGAGCACTTAGTATGGCCTGGACAGACAGACACACACAGAGACACACAGAGACATACACACGTATGCATACACACTTATATGCATACATACTCACACACAGAGAAAGGTGAGGCTACCGTAGGAACACACAACGAGCCCTAGACACATGGAAAGCTGAGTGTGGCCTGGACAGACACACACAGACACTCACACATACAGACACACACACACATGCATTTTTACCTATTGTCAGTCAATAGCATTTCATGGGTTTCCGTCACGGAAGAGGCTCTGTCTGCCCTATAGTTGTTCTGGAGCAGGAATCTCTCCCATGGTTCCTCTGGTGTACTGTATTTCCCAGCCATTCTCCCCAATATTATTCATGGCCACCCCACGTGGCCAGAAGCCTGGCTCTTGTGTGGCTGCAGTTTTACATGCCTGTGGAATATGGCGGCTCGCACTCAACCTAAGGAACGATGAACGCATCCTCTCCAGAGACAATAATGTCTCTGCCCAACATGGCTGCCCAGATACTAACACTCTTCCAATATGGCGGCTCAAAGGGTACGTGTGAAACATGGCCGCCCAACTACCAACAATGGACGGGTCGCCCAACTGTAAAACCCAGGAGTCGCCAAGGAGGGAATCTATCTGGTCACCCAGGGAAAGCCAGTATCCACCTCTTTCCCGCTCCGTAGGGTAACCCAATAACCGTTTTGGGAGGATGCATTTCTCTGTCCCACTCCAACCATGTCTCCACTGCCATAGCGGGATGGAAGCTACGCATGTTCCATTCTCCAAATTCCCGTTCCATTCTTCACGCCCGTTCCATTCTTCATCTTCTCTTTCCTCCCTCTCTTGCCCGAGTGGCCCCTCACACACTGCTGTTCTTCTCAGGCCCCCCTGCAGAGCCGACGTTGAGTGTGGATCCCCCGTCCAGAGAGGCGAATGAAGGGCACCCCCTTGTCATCACCTGCACGGCACCCTGGGACGCTGCAGAGCGGAGGTTCCACTTCTACCAGCACGGATCCGAGATCAAGGCAGGGTCCAAGACCCACATCATGATGCCAGACACCCCACCTAGGAACGTCGCCGTGCTGAGCATCCCGCGGGCGGATTCCAACAGCTCTGGGGAATACTCCTGCGGGTACGAGGAGAAGGACAGCGGGAGATGGATTCCCTCCACCAGGAGCCAGGCTGTGATGGTTACCTTGAAAGGTGAGGCTGCCATAGGGTTACACAACCAGGTCTAGACACACGGAGCACTTAGTATGGCCTGGACAGACAGACACACACAGAGACACTAAGCATTCAACTTGCAAGCACTATCATGCAGAAACTCTGGTGCCCATTGTGCGCATTATACAGTATAGCTGCTCGTTCCCCGACCCATCCTCTCCTGCCCTAGTGCCCATTATAAAGTATAGTCGCCCCTTCCCTACCCTACCCTCTGCTGCCCGTAATGCCCATTATACAATATATCCTCCCCATTCCCGCCCCGCCCTCTGCTGCCCCTAGTCCCCAGTTAGCAGACGTTTCACTTCTACAAAAATGGGACCACGTTCGACACTAGTGCCTCAAGGCCTGAACTGATCATCCCCCAGGCTGGCCTTGACATGTCCAGGGAATTCACCTGTGGGTACGAGGAGATGGTGAACGGGCCTCCCCCAGGAGCCTGGCCGTGACTGTCACTGTGAAAGGTGAGTGTCCCAGAACGCCCACAAGAACCCCTGAATCACACCAGTGGCCCCTCTTCTCCTTCCAAAGAGATGCCCTGTTGAAAAGAGGATATTAACAACACTCAGGAATCCTACTGAAGTGCCCCCATGTAACGTTCCGGTGTTGGCATGTCCCTAGGGCTGTGTCATATTGTGGGTTTGCAGATGGGCTCATAGCCAGCTGAATTGCTTCATAATTACTTACAGCCCCAAACCCGGGGTCTTGTACTACAAGGCACACCCAACCTGTCCTACAGAATCCTTGTCTTTGCCATGTTGGCCACCAAGAAGTCCAGCAGGCCATCGCCTTGCACCCGGAGTGATGAGCTGAATGGAAGACCAATGGAGTAACCTCCAGGGCCCTTTTTAGGACCATGTCCGCATGGAGGGAATCCCTTTAATCCTCCCAAATTGGTGTCCAGGGGTGAACACTTGAAACCAACCCCAACTTTTCTCCAGAAAGCTTGAATAGAAAAACGAAAATACAAGCTACAGTTCTGATTCCTGTCCCCTCCTCAAAGGCCTGCAGATCCTACCAATTTTCCAGGATATAGAAATTAACCAGTACAAGGTTAATAAAAGAAAAAGAATTTTTATTATTAAAACAATACCCCAGTTACAAGCTCGAGCTGGAATAGCTAGATGGTAAGAGCCACCAATTAATATAGTCATGGAGGATTCCTCCATGGGCGAAAACTTAGTTGCATTGAGATCAGATCCAAATTCCCAACCGAGAAAACAATAAAATCAGAAGGATTTATTTAAACTTTACCCTACTCACACATGATTAAGAGTCTTTTTTTTGGAGAGAGACATGTCTTCTGTCTCCCTCCGTATCTAGAGAGCAAACCGTCTCAGAGAGAAAGGAGGGAAAACACCAAAGTTCCTTTCTTCCAATTTGAAATCCCTACCCTGTATTTCTATTGGCTGAGCTGATACCAAGACATAGTTAACCCCTTAATCCCCTGGCTGCTGACTAACCCTCATGGTTATGACAAATGGAGATTCCTCCCCCTCCCTAGGAAACCCATGCTAGTGCTTCCCCACCCGCCTAGGAAAATCATTTTTCTAATATGCAGTCTTTCCCTCCCTGATTTCAACTTGCCCATGAACAACTCAGTTCCTTTTTTAGGCAGCGGCCATGACTTACAGGTTTGTCTGAATGCTCCCAGCCAAGTTCCTCCAGTGTGGATTGGCACCACTTAATGTCCCCTGCCAACCAAGTGCTCTGATTCGCTCGACTGGTTCCACACCAGTTCCACCAGGTCTGTTGCTAATTTCCCAGGAACAATCCCATCAAACACAAAGGCTCATCCCCTCGCCCCCCAAAAAGGCATGTGACTCATGGAAACCCAATCGGCGCACCCTCAGCTGGCAATAGACACTTTGTTTTGTGCTCTCCCTGCACAAGATTTGGTGCCAACATAGAATGGTAATTGTGATGATGTTTTGCGCGGTCCTATCAAAATCCAATCACATCGTAGGCTGGCCCCGAAATGCATCGGGCAGGCAGAAAACCATCCCTTAAAGGGAAGGGCACCTGGGATTCTTTGCACCAGCTGGGGTGGAGTCGATCTAGTAGA